CCCCAAAACCCCAAAACCCCAAAACCCCAAAACCCCTAAATATTATAAATAATTGAAGATGAATATTTCCAAAACTACACGAAACTTAGTGAAAGCGAAAAACAACGGTAAAGGACTGAAGATATCCCAGAGCCAGATTGCTCTTCAAAAAGGAACAAAGGTAGCTAAATTGAGTATTTTCAGGTAGTTTTTAGGAATCCGTTTAGATTTTTGCATCTCATACATATTATGTTGTAAAGACTTCCTGTGGATGTTCAACTTAGCTTGGAGCCATCTAATTGTGTACAAACAACTATAATTCCTTATAGACAAGACGAAACTTAAGGAGTTCTAAATAAGGATCCTCTACTGAAGTTGCATAAGATAGAACCCGACCAAACGTCTAAGAAAAAGGGAAAGAAGGCCACTAAAAGTATCAAAGAAGATGGTACAATTCTTGAATTTATTTTTTAGATTCACCAACCTTCTCTGATTACTACGAAGAGCAAAAGGATATTGTTGGCCAAATGGACAACCAGGTTTATGAAGAGAAAGCGAATCATATAAAGTGTTGTGTAAGAGTCAGACCTCTTATTGACGAAGAGATTGTCAAAGACGAGTGCATCTCATACCCTAAGCCTAATACTATTTTGGTATCAGCCAACTCTAAGTCTGTTGAAAAGACATATGACCAGGTATTCCCTCAAGATGCTCAACAATCTGATGTTTACAGTTTTATATCTGATGCTGTTGGGGGTATCCTTAAAGGAGTAAATTGCACAATTTTAGCATATGGCCAGAAAAATACTGGCAAAAGTTATACAATGTTTGGCCAAAATTGGGAAACTAGAGTCAAGGAAATTGCTACAAGAACACTGGAATGTCTCAGAGAGGGCAAGCAATATGATGGTAATGAGTCAGAACTGTATGATCTTGGCTTAATACCCAGAAGTATCCAAGAGGTGTTCTATTATCTCAACAGTAATAATATTGATCCAACAAAGGTTAAAGTTTATCTCTCCTTTGTTCAGATCCATAATGAAAAAATCTATGATCTTCTGCAAGATTCTGACACTAAAGAAGATCTCAAGATTAGAGAGGATAAAAATAATGGAATTTATGTAGAAGGGCTCTCTGAGTACCTTGTGTCTACCTCTCTTGATGCTTATACCATGCTAAAGAGAGGAGATAATAACTTTTATTCAGGAGCAAGGAGGTTTAGTAACTCTTCTTCCTCTCATAGAATCTTCCAACTCTACATTGAATACGATAATCCTGATGAAGATAAATTATACAAAACTAAGCTTAATTTCTGTGATCTTGGAGGCTTTGGGAATAATGCCAAAGATTCTGATCTAAATAAATACTCCTTATCAGCGCTAGGAAAAGTAATCAAATGCATGTCCAACAGAACACCAGGATATATCTCATACAGGGAGAGCAAGCTGACCAGATTATTGCAGGACTCTATTGATAAGACCTCGAATACCTGGATTATTTCCACAGTTTCTCCAGATATAGATTCTTTTGATGATATCCTTAATACACTGAAATTCACTGATCAAGCTAAGAAAGTCAAAGTGAGATCATCTACCAACACAGGGGAAGCCAAGCAATCTGGGAAAATGGAGGAGCTCCAAAAAGAAGTGAATTACCTGAAGGACTTGCTTAAGCTTAAAGCCAAGGGTACCAATGAAGAGGTTCATCAACAGTTATACAACTTGAAGAAAGAAAATATGAAACTTCGCAAATTAGTTTCATCAAGTCTTGATCTGAATCAATCTTCTTCTGCAAAAGGACTTACTTTGAAAAGTATTGTGACAACTGCCAGAGGAATTGGAGGAAATGACTACTTCAGCTCATATGATCCAACGAGGGAGGATAACTCAGGTATTGAGACTAGTCGGAACATAAAGCCTAACAATAGGTATGCTTCTCTCACCCAAAACACCCCTATACCATCAGATCCACAGCATCGGGAGGAATTTGACCCTAAAAATGGCAACCTAAACACCCAGACTACCTCTATAACCTCTAATTTACAACAAAGACTCTCTCGTGGGGGTCGTAGCTCGACTGAGCTCCAGTTCGCTGGTGCCAAAATCCTCGCTGGAACCTACTCCAAGGTCCCCAAAAGGTCAGGAAGCATGACTAAGGAGGACGATATCCCTGTAAGGATAAGATCTCAGAAATAAAATAGGTAAATTCCCTGTAAACTCCAGAGCTCAAAAATGGGTCAAAGACTATCTCCCTAAACAGAATCACTAGGATCAATGAAAAGCAGAAAGGTAAGTCAGAGAAGAGGCTGATCGTTTAGAGAATAAGAAATTTAAATGGAAAATTAGTTACTTGAACGAACTTGAGAAGAAGATGAAACAAGGATTCCAGTACAACTAGCCTCAAAAATGAACAAAATGAACAAAATTATCATAGTTGAGTATGCAATCTTTTCTACCAATGAGCAGTGAAAGGGGTTTTGGGGTTTTGGGGTTTTGGGGTTTTGGGGTTTTGGGG